TGTCTTGTGCCTCAGCTGAGTGAAACCATATTGAATCTTCATCTTTGCTCATCCTGACCTCTGAAAAGATGATGGGCTCTTCCAAATCACCTTTGTTTTTATACCACATAAGCCTGAGCCCTGTGCTCTGGGCCATGCTATAGTTGGTGCGAATATAACTGTAGAAAAGGGCACATTTCACTCGGACTGGTTCGCCTGCCAAAGCCATGTATGTCTTGAGATCCACTGACCAATCAATGCATCCATCCACTAAAAGAAAACCAAATGAGGCATGAGATACAGTGAGTATTGTAGATAACAATGATATGAACAACAATTGTTGCCAACATATACTGAGGACATACTATGAGCCAGGCACTATGGAAAGTGCCTTACATAGATTACCTCATTCAATCTTCCCAGTGGTCCTATAAGGCAGACCAGTGGAAAAAGCAGGAGTCTGCTCGAGCCCTGTACCTTTGGAGTATTTTCAATCCTGTATAGAAAGCTTCTGCTTGGGGTTGACTAGATCCCCCAGGAAGCTCCAGCACTCATGTCTATGGGGTTTGCCTAGGGACCCATTGCTAGGTCCCAATGCCACAAGAGTGTGAGGTTGAATTGCTAGAATGACACGGACATTTTAGTTGACTCAAATAGATTATATAGATATGAGCCCCACAAAACAAGTACTTCTACAGGGCCCCTTTCTAGCCTAGGAACAGCCCTGAGACTGACACTTTTATTATTTTTGTTTTACAGATGAGAAAACTGAGACTCAGGGTTCAGTTACTTTTCCCAGTGTCACACAGCTAATAAGTGCTGGATAAACAGTCTCTGATTCCAGTATTGTGGTTTATATATAAACCACATATAGAAACCACAATTTTTAACCCCTACCATATGCTGCCTCTGCCTATAACTGATAAGAACCATTATGGTATTTATTTGCCTTTGAGAAAGTAAATACCTGGTTTGGAAGCAGTGGACATCTAAAGTAATTATTCACTGTTATCTACATGTCATTTTTCTATAGTCTGACCTATTAATAGCAGATATTTAATCACCGTTCAATTTCTTTTTATTCCCTGAGGCCTCCCTTGCTGCTCAGATGGTATGTGCCCATGGGAATACATTAAATTAATGTCAAATTTAACCAAATAATATTAGGTGGGTAAATCTAACATTAAGTAAAGACATATACAGAAAATTACATCTTTTCCAGGAGGGTTGGACATGATAACTGTGGCTAATTTAATATCTAGTCAATATGATTAGCATAGATATTCTACTTCCAATTGCTTATTTTCAAATAATTTCATTAAATTATTCAATATTCTTTAATATTACTTGATTACTTGTTATAAAATAATGCTTTCACAAACTGTATAACACTGAGATTTAAAAATTATATACTTGCTTATACTTTATCAACTGATCTCCACCCTTTCTTAGATTTTGAGAACTCTATAACCCATTGTGTTTCTCTTTTAACCTTGGTTGACAGCAACTTCAGAGCTAAATGCAATGCTCAAGTGTAATAACTATCTTACCTCAGAATGTTGCTATCTATGAAAGAAGGGTGTTTACCAGGGATTCAAGGACACCCAGGTGGGGAGGGTGTCTGGGTAGACTTCACGATTGTTGGTAAAATGTTGCGCCTTTGTGCATGGTTATACTTTTCTGGGAAGATGTTCCACAGCTTTTTCTAAGATCTTCAAAGGAGTCTATGGCCCAAGAAAGTTTTTTAACTCCATGGTTTTTATTTCTTTCTGACTTCATTTTATACTGTCTGCTGTGTATGGGCTTTGATTACAAGCTCCCCCAAATCTTCCTATAATATTGGAAGTTTTTGTTAGAAATAAATCAATAATCAAATAAATAACTCCTTCTAAATTTATGCTGAAGTGCATCTGAACTTTTTTTTTTTGAGAATTCAGAGGGCATCATATCCATCAATTTGGATTGTGTACTGTTGAAGTCATGAAGGTACAACTGGATTAGACTAACAATCTAATCCAGATAGATCACTGACTATCTCTTGGGGGCTTTTTAATTCACTCCCGGGTATTAGTCATTTAACCAGTCATTTGTCTCATAATTGTCAAGAAGAGAGAGAGAGAGAGAGAGAACTCCGCATGAGTTTAACTTTCTGAGTCATGAAAAATTATGGGTGATACATCTTTGGACTAAATGCAATTTTAATATTTAGTGTTTTATCATATTTAAATGAATTTTATATTATTCTTTTTATGTGCTATATGTGTTACTGTTGTAATGAATTAACACACCTGAGAGGTAACAATATAAATGTTTTAAAAGAAATATATATCTTCTCATAGATTTATTTTAAAAGTTCATTAATAGGAAGAAAACCTGGATATCCATTTTTTAAAACTCTTTTATATTCCTGTTTTTGTTTTTCCCTAACCCTAAGGTACACAGAACGTGTTTTTGAACTAAAATTTTTATCTTGGCAAAGTAGCTTCAACCTCTATCATTACCTAATTGATAGGAAAAAAATAAAACTTTTGGAATAGTCCTTCCATTTGCTCTCTAAATCCCTTTAGTTATCTATTCTAAAAGATCTCTTGCATAAATCTACACCTTTATAATATAAACAGGCTATTTGACCCATTAGTGACAAGGTGTGGTTGGAATTGAGGATACATTATCAAAACATCTGCTTCTCAGACACAACAATCATGCTCAAAGGGAGTTGAAGACATTTAACTGCCATTATAATTAGCTTTGTCATACAGACCTTAAGAGTTCACTGAGAATTCATTTCCTTTTAAACAAAATGTCTTTGATTTAATAGATTATGGTTCATTTTAGTTTCTGTTCCCTTGCTTTGTGTAGCGGAGAGGGAGTATTTAGTTATAAGATAGTCAGGAGGCAGAGAACAGATATATAATAATGGGGAGAACAATTTCCAAACATCATTCCCCTTAGTATTTTCCTTTTGTATTCACAATACAAAATGAAAATACAAGGTATCTTAAGAGACCTGAGGGAATTTTCCCCCAAAATAGATAAAGAGTATGATACCATGGATCCATGAAGGCTCACCTGCCACCAAATATATTCCCACACTGAATTTTCATCAATAGAGCACTGAGTCACTACTAGATTCTAACAAGAGGTATGATTTGCTTTTATTGAGTTGTCGCTCTTAGGAAAATAAACCAAGAGTGGCGCAAGAGGGGATGGAATAGGATTTATATGTAGATATGGGACTAGCGAACCAACTAAGAAGGATGTATTGAGCAAAGAAGCCTGAAAAGTCTAATGACAAGACATCATGAAGGGACTGAAACCTTGAGTTTAAGCACGGAAAGGTGTGAGAGACTTGCAGAAAGGCAGAAGGAAGAAAAAGGTCACATACAACTCAAGTGGCCAAGGACAATTGCAGGAATCAAAGATGGTGCCATCTGCCCTAACCGGTTTGGCTCAGTAGATAGAGCGTCGGCCTGCAGACTGAAAGGTCCCAGGTTCGATTCCAGTCAAGGGCATGTACCTGGGTTGCAGGCACATCTCCAGTGGGGGGTGTGCAGGAGGCAGCTGATCGATGTTTCTCTCTCATCGATATTTCTGACTCTCTAGCCCTCTCCCTTCCTCTCTGTAAAATTTCAATAAAATATATTAAAAAACAGATGGTGCCATCTGAAGTCACCAGTGCAAGTCATGATTCTGTAATGAGGAGTTTGCAATAACATGCCACACTTTCAGAGCCCTTTTGCATGTTGACACTCCATACTCATTTGGCAAATAACTGAATGAATATATCTGTGATGTAACTGGCCAGGGCACAGGCTATGGACAGGTTGGCGACATAGTGGAACTGAGTAACCCACAGTGGAAACCAACCCACAACTTAACCTCAGCAGCACAGGCCTCTACTTCAGAGAGCAATCCAGCTCTATTCTATTTACAACTACTCCAGCAACACCTTTTTTAGTTGGCCCCCAAAGCGCTCCTGAGAAAAGTGGTTTATGATCAGATTGTCTTCTCCCACAGGTGGTTTGATAACTGGGTTTTACTGAACAAGCCTTAAGTGTAAATAGGGGCATTGCAGGAAGGAAAACATTTTTATCCAATAAACAGTGAAATTCTGCAGTTGGATTGAAGATTGCTACAGAGCAAACTCATCCAAAGTATAAGTGAGTGTATGCCTATCCTTTGCTTCACAATCATTCCTTATGATTATAAATAGCACTGTCATTGCATTATAAAACACTTCCTATTTCTGAAGTATCCATTCTCTGATCATTCTTGAGTCTTATGAATACCAATTCAAGTATTTAAAAGAACAATTGTGTTTCTTTGGATTTTCATCTCTACTCCCTTGATTTAGTTTTCTGTAAGGCTCACAGTTTTTACTCTTGGTTGAGTCTTGTTGGCAGAAATGCTTTAATATCTGAGCTATCCAAAATAATTATAATGAGGCAAAGGAAGCCACTTTAAAACTCAAGTCTTTATTTTAATAATTTTTATTCCAATCTGAAAAACTGTGCTTAGACTATTTGACATGAAGATTCAAAGAAAGGAGTGTATGAAACATATAAAGGGACATGCCAGTGTCCGTGCAATGTATTTTTCCAAGAGGAGACTCATAGGGGTAAAAACTAATATAGTACCCTGGAAAGTACCCTGGGTAAGCAAAGCAAACTTATTTAGCCTCTTTATAAATAAACCTCCACTTCCTCCTCAATACAACCAGGAGAGAAAATCCTGCCATACCTACTTGCTGTGAAAACAGCCCTGATAAAAGTTGATAAGTCCCTAAGGAGGATAATATGTTATCAACAACAATGATTATAACATTTTTTATATAAAAAGTCTTGCGAGCAGTAAAATTACAATCTCTAATGTAATATAATAATGTAAGCCCTGGCCAGGTGGCTCAGTTGGTTGGAGCATTGTCTCATAAACCCAAAGGTTGCAGGTTCAATTCCTGGTCAGGGCACATATGGGAGGCAACCAGTTGATAGTTCTCTCTCACATTGATGTTTCTTTTGCTCTCTCCCTTCCTCTATTTCTAAAAGCAATAAAAAAACATACCCCAGGGTGAGGATTAAAAAAAATCTCTATATATGGAAATTCCATATATATTGAGGATATTCATTACAACTTAAGTCCTTTGCCTGGGGATGTACATCCAACACTAGTTTATTATATATTTGTGATTTTAAAAAATCATTTGTTAAACCAGGTTTCCTTGTAACTATCTCAACAGTATCCCACTCATTTATATGGCCACCTCTCCTGCTTTTCTTTTCTTTCTTTCTTTTTTTTTTTTTCTCCTGCTTTTCAACTAACAGGGCAATTGTTGGGGGCAGTTCATCAAATGACCACTAGAGGGGAGGTTGTTCAAGTTTTTCTGTAGCACTTATATTTTTCCCTACCTAAACTCTAAAACTAAGGATTTGCTATCTGCCAACCACTGGTTACTGGGGAGGAATCACAGCACACCTCTGGGGATGCGACACTGTGTATGACAAAAGGAGCCCAAAGCATGCTCAAACTGGGTGACCAGGTTACATACACACCAACTGCATGACCCAGCACAGAAAGATGCAACAAAAGCAGTTACTGGCATTCTTCCAACCCTTAGTACAGAACAGCCAGGCACTGTGCTAACTGCTTTGTATGTATTTTTCTCACTTTATTATGTCAACTCTGGTAGGTAGGAACCCTCAGTATTCTCATTATACTGAAGAGAAAAAATAAAAATTCAGAAAGTTTAAGTGATGTGCTCCAGGTCATTCAGGTTGTGGTGGCAGAGTTCAGACCCCAACCCAGGTAAGTTGAATCCAGAACCTATGTTCTTAATCATTGTATGTTCTACATACTGCCTCCTATAATCCTTATCCTGGTGCCGGAAGCCAGTTCCAGCATGTCAGCAGAGCTGAATAATCTGGAAATGGCTGAGGGCATTTCCCCAAACCTGAAAAGGATGCATAAATTGATTGCTTGCTGCCAGACAGCT